GGATGAAATTGAACCAATTCCACAAACTTAGCAGTATAGTCCACTACGGACATACTACCTTGTTTCAATTCAAGAAATTCCATTTCCTTCTTCCCCTTAACACTCTCAGGGTAATACTTCCTCAAAAACTCCGTAAGAAATAAATCCCAAGTTATTTCTTCGTCATCCACCTCTAGAACTTATCGCATTCCGACCCACCAATCGTCGGCTTCTTCTCTCAGCATGTGAGTCCCAAGTCTCACCTTATTCTCTTCTGCACGGCCCATAACTCGAAAGATTCTTTCAATCTCTTTCAACCAAATTTGGGCACCATCGGGATCAAATTTTCCTTTGAAGATCGGTGGTTGATTCTTCCTAAACTCATCGTTAGCATTCACATTTGGCGCACCCTGCACCGCTCTATCCATTGCCTCCAATGCAGCAGCCATCGCATTGTCGTTACGACCAGCCATATTCTGATTATTCCCAAAAATAACAACAAGGTTAAACAACCGTTTAACCAACACAACAACGAGACAGACACAACTGACTCAACACTGGCTCTGATACCACTTAATGTAACACCACCTTTCTATACCCCCAAATAATCAAATAAATCATTTAGGCACGTATTGAAAATTTCATCAGAGTGTAATTAAAAACACGGTATAAAAGAGGCATGTCACATTACGCTTGAAATTAAAACACATACAACACCTGCTCAACAAGATATGCAACAGTGGGGTAACTTTCAAAACATAGGAACTTAGTCCTTACACCCACATCTCAATATTTAGAATAAAAGCGGAAAATCTAAACATTGAATCACTTCAAACATATATATATATATATATATATATATATATATATATATATATATATATATATATATATATATATATATATATATATATATATATATATATATATATATATATATATATATATATATATATATATATATATATATATATATATATATATATATATATATATATATATATATATATATATATATATATATATCATTCAGTTTGATTCACAACATCATTCAACATGTTTTCATAAACATCTCATCAATAGATACATATACAACGTATCACAAAAGAATTCTATACAATCCTAGCTACCCGGTGCTACATATCAGAGCCAACCGACCAAAAAGAATGAAGTCACGCTTCACAAAAAGACCTCCAGCAATCCTACTCTGCAATGCCTCATAGAGCATCATAAAATAGCAGAAGGGTGAGAAATATTATCATAATAATCAATGTATATAATTATATATTTACATAATAATACACATATCACCATTCTCACCACATTCATCACAATTCAATCATATATATATATATATATATATATATATATATATATATATATATATATATATATATATATATATATATATATATATATATATATATATATATATATATATATATATATATATATATATATATATATATATATATAATATATATATATATATATATATATATATATATATATATAATTCACCAAGCATATTCAACATGCATATATTCACCATTCATTTGTATACATCACAATGTATATATTCACACTAAACATATTCATCACTCCACAAAAACATTTACAATTATGTTTATTTACCAATACACAATTCATGATGATAAATGCAACTCATAGAGACCGACTCACGACTCTATGCAGATGCAAATGCGATACCGACTCAATCATCTCAAGTTCACTCAAGAACTTATTGGAACCATCGCTCACACCCCACATGGGCACACGGTGTTCACCCATTGCTCACACCCCACATGGGCACACAATGTTTATGGATTGCTCACACCCCACACAGGCACACAATCGTTCAGCAGATTCTACGCGGAATCAATCAGCACAAGAATGTATATCATGATGCTTCACATGCAAAATGACTCCATACACTTCTTGAAATGCATACATATTCATAATATTTTCATGCATTCATCTCATACTAGCACATACAATCTATGTACATTCATATCAATCATGCCAAACGGAAATGAGCATCGCTTTACCACCCACACGGCTACGAATTCTTATCACATAATCACGCATTTTCATTCAATTCAAACAATGCACATAATTGCCAAAAACGACCATATTTCACACTTCACAATTCACAATCTAGGATTCACGCCATACGGCTACCCGCAGCACATCTTATCACAATAGTACACAAACTATACATTTCAGATAAGGATTAAACACAATCGAATCAAACAATCAACATTGGATGGAAAACACAAGAAATGAAAAATGTTGTCACACTCGCTTACCTTCGCCTGGCGAAGCATTTAGCGAATGCTCGCTGCTTCACTCGCCTGGCGAACTCGCTGGCGAAGACAGGCAGTAGCTACTAGAAGTATTCGCTACCTCATTCGCTGGGTTTCGCTTGGCGAACCCTTTCGCCACCTCCTTCGCTTGGCGAACACGCCAGCGAAGGCTGATCTTGGCTACTGTAATGGTTCGCTACCCACTCGCTGGGCTTCGCCTGGCGAACGCTAGCGAATCTACGAACTCAGAACCCCAAACTGTCCAAGATCACCAAATCATCACAAAAATCAACGGATTCAATCCCAACCAGTTCCAATAGTTTTAGCCCAACATTACCCGACTAAACTACTCCATTTATTTCGGATTCTAACCGTTCAAACATCGATTCTTACCGATTAATCCATTTCGACCTAAAATGGAAAAAGATGAAAAACTCTCCAACAAATCCAAACACACACACACACATAATCATAGACATCGATAAGATAATAAGAAATCACACCCTTACCCGATTAAATCGAATCCTAGATGTTGTTCTTGATGATTTTCCAAGTTTTCCTCTTTTCTCCTCTTCTCTCTTTCCTTCTCTTCATTTCTCTTCTTTCTATTTCTATCTCTTTTCTCTCATATTTCCACTTATATTTCTTTCTATTCTATTCCTCTCAAAACATCTATTAAATTCATTTTCTCACAAAATATCCAACTTAACATTAAATATTAAATGTCTAAAATACCCTCCAATCTATTTTCCCCGAAAACTCTCAAAATCGGTAAAATAGCATAATATGCAAACATAACATAAACACATAAATTCCACAATTTAAAATAATAATCACCCAATCAAATCAAAAAGACTCAACAAAAATGGGAAATTAGAATCGTTGCGTTACACTCGGAGCTTTCGAAATTGGCTTCAAAACCAATATTCTGAAAAGCCTTAGCCTTTAGGGCCAAGTTTATCCTATTTTCGGCCATGTAAGCTGAAATCCAAGTCAATGATCTTGACTCAGCAATCATTCTCATCGACCATTGTCCACACTGTAAGGGGTAGGCTCCCTTCTTCGACAGGTTAATTCTCTACCTGCTCCTTGTCTCAAATGAGCCGATAGTTTGGATGTAGATTCAATGAATAGGTAAAGTCTTTCTGAGGGGTATATACCTCATCAACACCATAACATGGTCGACTTCTACGTTTTCAACAATACCATCCTTCCTCCAGATGACAACTCTTTGGTGCAGCGTCAAAGACACCGCACCAATTCCTTGAATCCATTCACATTCAAGTAGTAAATTATAATTAGCATTGGACGTCTATGAATATAGTTGGCCTTAAAGTAGAGCCAACTGACAAGTTCACCTGGATTACACCAAGGATGTCACTGGTCTTACCATCGTAATTAGACAAAACCATATTATGGAGTTGAAGGTCTTCATCAATCTTCTCTATCTTCTTGAATAACAAATGCAACATCAGATTAACTGTCACACCTACATCAACAAAGACTTTGGTGACGGCTATCCACCACTTGTATAAGTACTAAGTCACTCGGGTTTTGTGTTTAGAAGGTTGAGCATTTTCATAATGAATTTGAAATAGAAGCTGAGCTTCCATCAATTCAAACAAGATCCTTTATTTGTATAAGATAAGTGTATGTATTAGGAGCGGGATCGAAAAAGTGAATCTTAATATTAAAACTTTAGGAATTGAATTTGAAACAATAATCACGAGAGTAGATTTGATCTTTTGAAGAATCAAAATTCTATAATCATAAATTTTAAATGGTTGAATCTAGAAACAATTAGCACGAGAACCCAAATTATTAATTGAAGACAGATCTTTTATCTCAAGAGGAAACATTAACTATGTCGTATAATCCACATAAATAATGGAGTTGTGATCTCTTCAAAAACAGGACACTCTTCCATGGTTTTGAGGATGCTCATAATTTCGTGAATCTAGTTGGGAGAGTTCCTTCCCATTTTTCATCATGTATTGATTAATGCTTTTTTTTCCTTTCCATAACAAAGACATCTAGATAACATCACTGATGCAAATGGCTGTGACTGAGAAAACAATATTGAGGCATTTATGATTAATCAGAGCCCAGCATGTCATGTTTGTCTGGATTTCTTATTGTCAAACAGGTGTTGGTAGCAGCATTCACTGAGTACAACATTAATGGCTGAATTTGAATGCTCAGAGCTGTCTCCCCTCAAAACACACTACAACTTGTGTGTTACTATCAAATTTCATTCCCTCAATAGTTCTCTTCTTAGGTCAAAAACTTACTTGTGTAAAATTACACTATATATCATCAGCAAGAAATACTGTTTTTTTCAAACACAAATTTCCATAATTGCACACTGTAAACCAAAACATGGCCAGCCCAACAAAAAATGCTATAGAATTTCGCCTGGTTGAACAATATTAGTGAGATCCTGCCTTTACATTCTTCAATTATATTTAGTGAGCAAACCTATTTCAGTACAATAGAGACTTCCACTTCTAAACATATGATACATATATTCACGCTTCAGACGAAAGGAATGTTCATTAATACTTTCCCTAACATCTACATCCAGTCATCTGTAGGGTACCACTTACCCCGAAGGCCTCGGCATTAACAAGTTTGGCAAGTCATATGTAAAACTTCGTCTGTAGTTATTTCCATCTGACTGGAACAAAAGCCGAAATAAGCGTTGTAGACTTAACATCAAAGTTCAACTTTCATCTGATTTGATGCATTAGTACCTACAAGAGTATGAAGAAACAAGGGTCATTTATATTGAGAAATGTAATTTAAGAAAATGGCTTATTTGTTTGAGGAATTTATACCATCCACATCTTCGTTACTTGTGGGAGCAGTTGTTGCAAAGCTCATTTGTATAACATTGTGAAGCTCATCCTCCCACATATCAGGCATCTATAGCAAATTGTATCAAAATATGCACATAATGTAAATATAGTCTGCTAATAAACCTTATGTGAATGTAATTTGGCCGCAATGTGCACTAATTTATCATAAATCTGTGGTTTTAAATTATGTTGTAGAACAAAAGTGAGTGGTTACTTGTTTGAACAAAGATATGATGTGGAAAGGAAACCACGGTGCTTGCAACTTCAATGTATCGATACCTGATTTGGCTCCTTGAACCCTCCACTCAGTTGTGGATGAATAGCTCTACGAAGGATATCGGACGGGTTTGTCATGTTTGGAATAACTGACTGAATCAGCCCTGGTTGAGATTGATGTAATGGAGGAAAATTCATAGACATCTCTAAAGGAAACCCTAGTGCGGATGAAGGACCAGGCCGTTGGTGAAGAATCTGACACACAATGTTCAGAATACAGTAACGCAACGTCAGACAGAGTTGCAGATCATGTTTTTTTTCTAACTGGTGTGCAAATAGATTAACAACTTACATCTTTAGCAAGAAGGCCTTCGATATTAAAATCCAGTCGCGGATTTACTGTTGCAAGTTTCATAGATAAAAACTGCCAAAATAGAAAAGATGGGGCCGAGTCAATTTCACATGAGTAGAACGCAAAGGGTCATAAGAATGTGTGTCGAGCATTAATTCAATATGAACGTAAATTGGTAAAAGATAGAAATCAGGAAATCTACCAAATTATGAATGTTGATATTGTGCTGAAGTAGAACTAAAATATACAAGGCAAAACAATTACATGGATTAAAAATCTCTGGTGGGAAATTCAAAGATAAGAGTTCAACTTCGAGTATACCTCAACTTGTCGTTGAAGTGACTGTACATAGTTGATGATTTCGTCCAGCATTACTGCCTTGCCAGTGACCTGCAAACATCGACAAACTTTGAAAGTTAAAAAGAACACGACCATGCGAAGGCAATTATAACATAGAATAGTGAACTCCTCTAGTTTAAAATTTGGAAGCCACCTTGCTACATCCAGGCACGAGTTCCTGAAGAAACTTCATCCTCTCACTTATCTTTTCCCTCCTCACCTGCAATGCATTTCTAATTAAAATTTCTTCATTAAAATTTCTAATTTTCATTCACAGATAATTTGTCACAATATCTTACCCTTTCTGCAAGGCTATGGCTGTTTGTTGCTTGACCCCGCCGAGCCCTAACGTGTATGTATTCCTCCTTAGGTGGATCAGAAGTTTGAGAGCCCTGTTTGGCATTCTTCCCAGATACCTTGGTGGTTGATGTTGGTTGTTGGTCTCCCTTCGGTTGATTCTCAGGGTTGTCCTTTGCTCCTTCACTTTGTAGTTCTTGAGCTTCATTAACTTTATTGTTATCAGCATCCTACACGACGAATAAATCAATCACATTAGAAAAACAGTATCACAGACACACACACACAGAGAACAAAAAGCTCACAATTCACAAACCATACCTGTCCACTTCTTTTTCTTTTCTTCGAGTTTAGTCCTTTAATAGAAGGCTCCCCGCTAGTAGTACCCTCTAACATTGGGGAACCACCCTGTCTGCCACCACCACCATCATCATCTCCCGACTCACCTCTATCAGAATCGTTAGCATTCCGAACAAGAGTCTGCTTCCCTTCATCTTGAGACATGGTGCGACTCTCGCTTTTATCATTCATTAAAGGGCTTCCTCTAGCAACCAATTGCTCAATAGACGGAGACACGCCTTTTGTAGCTGCTTCAACTACATTAGGATCACTACTCTCTTGTGATTGTCCCCCAGTTGCTATTTTCAATCCAACACCTGCCGCAAGAGCATCCCTACCTCCATGAACCGCACCACCAACATACATAGCCATGGATTGAGGAATCCCATACGAGTTCATCGCATCACCAAAATTCCCTCCTCCAAAGCAAGATAACCTTGCAGCCCTTTCAATAAAACCAGAATCAGTTGGAAACTGAGATAAACTCTGAGGAAAAAACCCTTGTCCATTCGGTAAAAAACCATCCCCTTTCAACATAGAATTAGCCTGGTTCCAACCTATTTCACCATGACCACCTCTTCCAAAACCAAACCCATCTTTTCTAATTCCAACGGCGTTCGAAGAACTCCCATTATGTTGAATATTCATCTCACAAAATCCCAAATTTTGAGAATTTGCTGAATGGTCCCAAAAGTTAGGACTATAAGAATCCACCATTGAGGCAGAGGAACATGAAGAAGAACCAACCAAATCCCCTCTATTGATTTTCATAGAATCACCAATTGAAACCAAACCAACAGATGAATTCACAAGATTACCACCCCCAAATCTCCAATCAGGAGGCATACCAGAAGAGTAACTCATAGGATCCCCATTTCTATCCACCTCAAACTTTTCTTTGTCACTCATATCAAAACTAAAATGAGAGAAAATTTGATCGAACACAAAGGGTACTTTCAGGTTTTAATAGTAGCCAAAGCAAATAGTAGAACATGTACATGTACAGCACAAAACTATGATGAAAAGCTTGAAGCAAGGGAAAAAAGGGTGAGCGAGACAAAGAGAAAGAGGATGAAATAAATGATGAAACAAAAAGCAAGTACGAAAAAGATGTACCAAAGGTTCACACGAGTTTAGCAGCTACCATTTCCAAAGCTTGAAAGTACCAAAAATTGATAAAGAAGGACCCCCCAGAAGACACAAAAAGAGTGAAAAATGCAAAAAAAAAAACATTGATTTCAGGATAATAAATAAGGTCATTGAAGCCCTAGTCAGAGAGAGTTGAAGATAATAAAAACCAAAACCAAACAAAACAAACCCTTGGAGAGAGAGAGAGAGAGAGAGAGAGAGAGAGAGAGAGAGAGAGAGAGAGAGAGAGAGAGAGAGAGAGAGAGAGAGAAGACTTTAAATTAAAAGTAGGAAGAGAAAGATACCCAATTTCTGATTCTGTGCTACTTTAAGCACCCTTCCTTCCATTGAAGCTTTTCTTTTTTCAGAAATCAAAAAGAGTTTAATAAAATGTGGGGTTTTGTTGTTTGATAACAAGAGTGTGGTGGTAGAATAGAGAAAAAGGGAAAGAGTATTAAAGAGAATGGAAAGAAAAGGAGAATGGGAAAGGAGGGTTGTGATTTATATACCTCACTCACTGAGTCACTCCCGCTTACATAAAAAAGAGAGCTTTTGATGATTAACCACCGCCACTGCAATTCTATAATAATCTAATTACCTGCCCCTTAAGCACCTCTTCCCCAACTTTGAGAAATTGATGATCATTATACTCCGTACATTAAATTTGTGATTTAAAAAAAGAAATAACGGTAGGTTTGCAAATACTGATTCGATAGATAGTCCTGGCTCGGAAATTGAAGTTTTTTTTTAAAAGCAAACACATTTTTAGAGACACATTACATATTCATTATTTCCTCAAAATTTTAAAGTAACATATTTATAGATTTTTTAACTTATAAATATTTAATTTTTTATATTTTTAATCAATGTGAAATTTTTTCATAATACTCATATTTATTATCTAAAAAAATAGGGGACATATCTACCATATAAAAATAAAGTATGTTTTAGAATAATCTAATATGCTCTTCTGTTTTCACAACGCGCAACGTGAATAGCTTAAAAACGTTTCATTTATTTTGCTTCTCCATATCATAACTTCTTCCTTCTCTTTTTCTTTCTCACTATCCTTTTTCTTTTTATCTTTCTCATAGCCATCTATCTCTTTCTCTCTCATTGCTTTTTCTTCTACCTTCTTTTTTTCTATTATTTGTACTCAAAATTTCACTTTCTATTTTCATTCTCTTTCTCAATCCTCTTATCTCTCTCTTTTTTCTTCCAGCTCTTTGTTTTTTCTTTCTAGATTGTACATAGATTTGGAGATAAGAAGAAAGAAACGAGGATAACGTAGATTTAGAGATAAGAAGACAACATCAGTAATGTAAGTGAAAATAGGTACAAAAGTTAATAATCTTTTATTAAGGTTGTTGCCTCTGATTTTTATTCTAATCTTTATATTTTTTTTCTTCATGTTTTCATTAACTTTGGATGGTTTTGTTTTTTAAGGTACCAATACTCTCATATTTCTAAGTTTACACCTACTTTATTTGCCTTTAGTTGTTTTTGTTTTTTTCCTTACGAATTTGAATTTTTTTGTTTCTATTGCGGTGAAAATCGGATATCAAGTTATTAATTAACTTGAATCACAAAATATGAAGTTCACCACTGAGGGTTTATCCAAAGGAAATGGTAAAGATCAAAGAAAACCCTAAGTGTGTTATATAACAACACAGCTAAGAGATCTAAGGTTTGGGGGTTGGTTATACCTAGGGAAGGTGTTAGCATCCTAAGTATTTGTAGTACTCTACAGGAACCTCTTGTTAGTATTTGTGTTATACTAAAGTGTGCTTGCTAAAGGGACTGTGCTAAGGTAAAGATCTAAACTATATACAAAGTATGTTCGTCAAGACATCGCATCTCGTGCCTACGTATTCTGACGGGAATGAAATCAGAGCAACCGTAGTTCCCCTCAATAGGGGTGAGGAACTCTTGACTGTGGTCAAGGTTCCAGGAAAAAGTAAATGTCTGCGGTGAGACGCCTACATAGAGTTCAGCGACTCTAAACCTAAGGCTAGGTTAAACGGGAAAAGAAGTGTCCATGGCAGGACACCCATGTAGAACGCGGTGACTCTAATCCTAAGGTTAGGATAAATGGTAAGGATCTAGGCTAAGTATGACATGACAGTCAACAGGGGATCCCTTCCTTTGGAATAGGAGTAAAAGATCATCGAATGAAATAAGCATCAAAATCATGACAAAAACAAGAAAAACATCCTCCATATTTCGTCGAGAAATATTTTACAAGTATCAATCAAACAAGAAGTCACAAGTATCCTTAAGAACCAATCAACCTCCAAGATCATTCACAATTTGAATATTAGGAGTTAATCCAAAAAAAAAATTAAGCAAAGACTAAAATAAATAAAAAAATAATCACAAAAATTAATATCAAAGTTAAAATTATAATTTAAACCAAACATTAAGATCAAAAGTTAGATTAAAATTTAACTAGAATTTGCATCAAAATTAATCAAAGCTTAATTAAAATTCAATGCAAAACTAAAGTCAAAATTTAATCATAATTAACATTAATACTAAAATCAAAGTTTAAGAAAAAAATTAATATTAAGACTAAAATCTAATTAATCCAAAATAAAATTAAAACCACAGTTAAATTAAAATCAAATGATTAAACTATAATTAAATGGTAATCAAAACTAAATGAAATTAATTTCTAATCAAAATCTAACTAAACCAAAATTTAACAAAACAAAAACAAAAAAAAGTGCAATAAAAAAAAGTTTGTGAAATAGAAACTTACAGCCCAGCCTTATCTCAAGCCCACCATAAAGTTTTCAAGGAGATTTAGAAATGCAAAGTGTCGTGGAAAAAGAAGAAAACAAGGGCCTCAGGCCCAAACCGTAACAAAAACACACCCTTATAAAACCTAACTCACAGTTGACACTAAGTTCAGAAAACTCCTTCCCTCAATATTTCAATAAACGAGGAAACTCTGTCCTCTCCTTGTTTCAAACGATCATCATCAGGGAAGAATCAAGGAACATGAAACGAAGGCGAATCCCCTCAGTATCACCAATCGTGAATCACTCTCTTTCAACTTCTCCTCTCGCAATCATTTTTCCGTCCTTGTTCCATTAATCTTCTTCATGTCACTTTTGGTTCTTCTTTTTCTCCTCACTCTCTCTTCGTTCGATTAATAACGGATTGCTGAATAAAATTGAAGATGATGATTGTCGATGAAGTGAATCGGTTTGCAGTGTTGTGGTGTGTAACAGCCCGATTTTTAATAACTGATTAATTGTACTAGTTAGTTGGTTTGTATGGTTTAAGTGAATTATTGGATTTAACTGATTTATTCTATTTGGTAGAATCATGAGGGTTTATCAGATGTTTTCTAACCAATGTCAAGATGAGATATTTTATGAGAAAATGAATTGACAAATATTCTAAGAGAAGAAATATATTGGAGAGAAATAGAAGGGAAGGATATATATATATATATATGGGGGAAGAGGAATGACAATGTAAAATAGAAAACATGAAAGGAAAGTAGAAGGAAAAAGAAGGAAAAGCTTGGAAAAGCTCAAGAACGACTTTTAGCTTCCGATTAATCGAGGTAAGGGTGTGAAATCTTACTATCTTAATCAATGTGTACGATTATGTATGTGTGTGTTGGATTTGTTGGGGTTTTCTACTCATTTTCCATTTAGGGCAGAAGTTGGTTCAATCGATAGAGACGATGTTTTATCGGTTAGAATCGAGAATGAACGGAGTAGTTTAGTCGGGTAGTGTTGGACTAAGTCTACTGGGGTTGATTTGTACTGAATCGGTCGGGTTGTGAGGTTTGGGCTTTTGGACAGCCATGGAAGTTCTGAGTTCGCAGGCTCACCAGGAGAATGGCAGCGAAGCTTCGCCAGGCGAGTATGCTAGTGAGTGCTAGCGAGTAATTTCAGAATAAATCCCAATGGTCTTCGCTGGCAAGTTCTCCAAGCGAACGGAGTGGCGAAGGTTCGCCAGAGGCTTCGCCAGGCGAATGTTAGCGAACACAACAACATATTTTCTTTTCTTGTGTTTTCCATTCGTGGATTGATTGTGTGGTTTGGTTGCGATCATTCCTTGTCTGAGATGACTAATTATATGTTGTTACGTGTGCTGTGGGTAGCCGTATGGCGTGAATCCTAGATTATGAATTGATTGTGAATATGTGGCCTTTTGGCATATGTGACGCATTGTTTAAATTGATTAAAAATGCATATTGAATATACGTGCTGGTATGTGATGTATGAGGATTGTAAATGTGAACCATGTTTGAATAGTGTGAATGAAATGATGAATATATAAATATATTGTGATATGTATATATTGTAAGTGCATAATGAATATATGCGATGAATGTGACGAATGCATGAGTATGTTTGTAAACGTGTGTGCATTTCAAGAGTGTCATGAGTCATGTTGCATGTGAAGCATCATGGTGTGCATTCTTGTGTTGATTGATTCCTCGGAGAATCTGCAGAACCTCGTGTGCCCTTGTGGGGTGTGAGCGATGGTTATTTATTGATCCCTCGGTGGATTTGCAGAACCTCGTATGTTGCGATGGTTATATTGATTCCTCGGAGAATCTGCAGAACCTCGTGTGCCCTTGTGGGGTGTGAGCGATGGTTATTTATTGATCCCTCGATGGATTTGCAGAACCTCGTATGTTGCGATGGTTATATTGATTCCTCGTAGAATCTGCAGAACCTCGTGTGCCCTTGTGGGGTGTGAGCGATGGTTATTTTTGGTTCTTCAATTGAACCTGCTGAAATGAGTCGGTACCG